GTTCGATTCTTTGGTTTTTCGGTTTTTATATTTATAATATATATTATATAAATATATGTATACTATTATATTATAAATAATAAATGATATATAATATATTATAAATATTATAAAATTATATAATGTATTTATAAATTGATTGTTATAAATATAATATATGTATATATTTATATATAAAATGAATATATATTTATATATAATATATATAAAATATGTGACATATATTAAAAATATATATAAAATATGCATATAAATATATACCAATCGGTTTGGTTAACCGCAGTTTTTTTGTAGATTAACCGAAAACCAAACTGATCCTTCGATTTTTCAAAAATACCAAACCGGTCGATTCAATTAACAGCATTTTCCGGTTCGATTCGGTTTTTCTGTTTTACATGGACACCCTTATTTGGTATTGCTATTCGGGTCCACTTGGGCTCCTTATTGGTGGCTTGTGCTGTCTTTCCTTGTGTCGTTCTCCTATAGAAAGTGAGGCTTGGGCATTACTTGAATCTTTTAAGTTTGTTATGGATTTGCAGTTAAACTTCGTACTCATTTAAGGAGACACACAATGATTTCTTCTCTGTTGAAGAGTAACTTCACTCCTTGGCAGAATACCAATATCCTAGCTAATTGCAAAGAATTATTAGCAAGAATATCCCACTGCTCAGTTATTTATGCTAATACTAGATGTAATAATGTGGCTTACAAGTTGGTTCGCCATGCTGTGACACTCACTAGATCTTCTTACTTGGTCTTGTCTACCTCCTTTTTTTGTCTTTTTTTTTTTCTGCTTTAAGTGCGGATTGTATTTTCTGAGCAGTTAATTGAACGATATTGCCTTTGGTGTAAAAATAAAAGAATCAGACCAATTAAAATGTGATTTATTTGTTGTGTTTTCCATTGGGTGTCCCCCAATTATAGGTTATGGTTTTTTACATAATTTGTATCTTGTGTTTCATGTTCTTAGGGTTTTTAAGAGTGTTTCTCTTAAGAACATGGCTTTGGGGAAATGTATGATTTGTTCTTTGAGAGTCTCTCTAGTTTTTTTATTGGGTTTGGTAGTACTATGCTCTTTTCCTATTATTTGGTCGTCTCTATATGAGGACATAAGCAATTTGTAGAATCATGTAATTAGGTTAGTATTAGTAGGCCTACAAGGTTGGGAAAGGGGTAGAATGCAATGTGAGTTTCACTACCACAAGAATGTCCAGATGCATGGGTTTCATCCCATTCTTCCACTATGGGAGGGATGTTAAGTGACCAACTCAACCAAGGGGTCATTGGTGCCATGGCTATAGCACCGACCTAAATCCGACTCATTACACACCATGCATCTTAATTAAATGTCAAATGTTACTGATAGCAGGGTTAGCCAAGGTAGGATGTTTGGATTGGTCCACTGTATTAGTAAATTATAAGCAAGTTTAAAAGTATCAATATGTATGGTCCATATCAATTTTTGCGCTTATTGATTTGTGACACAGGTGGAATGGTCAAATCTATACAATATTCTAAGATATCGTTGTCCGCATCAGATTCATTATATGCTTCCCAACCTTTTTTGAAATTTATGTTTTTTTTTTAACATTTAAAATAAAAATTTAAAGATGAAACTATCTCACCCACAACCAATTCAGTTAAGAAACTGTGCATCACACAGGTCTCTGGTTTGCATCTGAGATTGGAATTGGAATCGGAATCAGAATGATCTGTTCTCATAATTTTTTTGGTTCAAACAGAAATGAGAATGAGAATTGGAATCAGCAGGAATGGAATTTCATTCTTAAGGAAAGGGGCAGGGAATGGTCATTCCCTCAAATGAGGGAATGCTATTCCAGCAGGAATGGGAATGAGATTCCGATTCCACTCAACCAAACAATTGAAATCGGAATAGCCCATTCCGATTCCAATTCCAGACCCCTGTTCCCCGCAAACCAAACAGGGCCTAAGTACTAGACCAAATTGAGCCTGTATTGAGTATTGACCAATACTAATCAATAATATAAACTCCTACCAATGTTTTCAAAACCAGACTCGACTGGAAAAACCGGGAACCGGTCATCTGATCAGTTCCATTTCAGCCCAAAGACGCTTTTTGGCAAAAAACCATTGATTTGATAATCAAACTGCTGACCCAGGCATTCAAACCATCGACCTGAACTACGGTTTTTGGCCATTTTTACAGTTTATTATTTTTTAATTTGTCAGAACAGGTCATCCATTCAATTTAAATGGCCGGACCATTCAACCTGGGAACTGGACCCAGCACGGTTCCCTATCCAGTTCGGTTTTAAAAATCTCGACTCCTACACATGGTTTTTAAAAACAAACCGGTGACCAAACCGATCAAGGGTCTAGTTACCGGTTTGAATGGTCCGACCGTTCGACCGACAGCTGGCCCGTTCTGACAAAAAAAATTAGAAAAATTAGAAAATAGTCAAAACCATTCGAACGATTCGAACAATTAACCGGCCGATTCCATGGTTTGCTAACCAAAATCAACGGTTTTGGGGAAAAAAGCGATTTTGGGGGAAAACGGTGACCGGTTCCTGATTTTTCCAATCCGACTATCCGATCCGATCCGGTTTTGAAAACCATGCTCCAACATTTTTGTAGGCCACTAACATGCCCATTCTCTCATTAACTCCTATAGTCCTATATTTAAAAATTCAAATTTACATTTAAATAGAAAGCTGGCAAGCCTCCCACTACACCACACATCAGTGACATCACCTAGCTCTCATATTTTCGTTGTTTCTAAATTTTAAAATTGATACATTTTCTCTTCTTATTGCATGCCATTTTTAAATAAAAAATCATTAAAACTTATATTTATAAATATTAACAGACCTATATTGGCTTCTTAAGAATTAAATATGCATGCATATTTTTGGTTCTTTCATCAATTTTTTTTTTTTTTAATTTTCCAAGTGTCCCAGTAGTTAACACTTGGAATACCTTATTTATAGTCATAAATCATTAAAACGTGTTTTTTTTTGTGTATATACCTTATTTATAGTCATCTTAACTGGGGTCAGTTTAGTCAGACCCATTCATGCATAACTGACCCCACTGTATCCAAAGAACACTTGAATTGAATTGTTGAATATTGGATCAATTCTTACTTTAGGACTCCACTAAATGTGCAAACATTTGAAATTGCAAATTGCATAAATCCATGGTTTCTTAAATAGACCGATCTTGGTACAAAATTTTGCATGAAGAACAAAATGTTAGAGCTGCAGTCATAGCAACTTCAATGCTGATCATCACCGGATACCTACATCTTAAATAAACATGGCTTGGTTAAAAATTTGGACACATTGTGATGAACTAGCAAGTAAACTCATGTAATGCATAGGATTGAATAGAAATTTGGTTAGGTTTGGATTTACAAATTTAGGTATTGACATCAATTTGGGTCCAGACTAGGGTTAGTCTAGGATTGGCCTTTAACTTGACCAAACTCATCTGATTTGTACCACACTTAGATGGCTTAGATCTTAGGTCATTTTGATGGTAAGATCTTAGGTCTTATCCGGTACATCACTCAACAATGTCCTCCATTCTCTATAGAATTTTGTGTATCATTTAAATAGCTAAGATTACTTGAAATCTTACTAGAATGTTGGATGGCCAAAATTAATTCATTGGTCTTTAATAGACCACTTTGATAACAGAAATTTTGTTGGTTTAGCATATTATTTGGATGGCCCACATTTGTTAAAACCTTGGTCATTACCTGAATAGTTGAGATTAATTTATTGATCTTAGAAGGCCAAATTGATGGCTTTGATCTTTGGGTTGATTTGGTACATCATCACATAGCCTGGATTTATATGAACATTGGAGCATTAATCAAAGAACAAAAATCACTTGATGTCAGGATACACCATTTGATGAACCATTCTTTTAGTTTATGTACCATTCCGCTTCTATGGCCTTGATCAGTCAAAATTTTTCAAACCACTTAGATTTTCAAGAGTTGTTGGCTGCTTTTGAGGCTCCACTTTGATGATGATCTGGATTTCCGGTTAGAATGATCATGACTATATCTTTTTTAAGAATATGGAATGAGTTAAATTCCAAACCTTCCAAAGTACTGATGGTTCCTGGAGTTTACCCAACAAAAAAGACAAAAAAATCAATTGATAATTAAAAATAATACTTTTTTGGTTTTAGATTTCAATGAGATTTATATTAGTTTTCTAAGCATATCATAGCTCTTCCACATTTTTCAATGTTTTCCAAATGTATCCCAATGGTTAACACTGTCTATTATATAAACTATTAAAATATGTGTTTCTTATGTTTTATACTTTTTTTATGGTCATCTGAGCCTGAGATCAATTCTATTAACATGTCTGTAGGGTTCATGAGTTTCCTCAATGTATTCACTCTATCCTAATCATCCCACCCTCAAGTTCTGAGATGGTTGACAGGCAAACAGCCCAATCAGAAATTCTTCTATTTACGATATGATGGTCAGAACAGATCAGAAATAACGCATCTGACCTGAATATTTTTAGCAGTATTGAATGATGTATTCATGTACTGAATAAATTTTCTTGCAAGATCCAAGTGCAGCCATCAAATAGAGGGTTCACATTTACTTGCACTCAAATTAAAATTCAGTATTAATTTTTTATGTATTGCAGATAATGATAATAACAATTATTATTAAACTTGTTTTCCTATTATCTGCTAAGAAGCTTTTAATAGGAAATTCAGTTTTACTGTTTCATGCTAGATCTTGTGTTATGTTGTATCCTGTTCTTGAATTGTGTAAAACTACCAATTTTCCATTACCATTAGAATAACTTTTCTCTAATATGCACAAACAAAACAAACTTATGCTTGAAAGGGTTTCTCTTCCCCTATTTCATTTTTCTTTGGGCTATTGATCGGTGGTGTTAAAATCTTGGGCTGGCAAGTGTGAGAACATGGGTTTGAGTCAGAGAGCAAACACTTTGTGCAAAGAAATGAAAGATTATGACTATATCCAGTCTGCCTCTTCCAAGTCCCAGATAGATAGGACCAACATTGGGTAATGGCCAAGCAAAATCCAGGCATCATTCCACCTCAAATGACCATGGTAATGATAACCTTCCTAGTTCTTGTCCAGATGAAACAAAATAGTGATTAAGAGAATATACAATGGGAGAATTTCAACTTAAAACTCAGGTGGCAGAAGAAGGTTGGTGTTTCTCCCTTTTGTTGAAGAACATGTAGAAACATAGGTTGCATCTAGTTAGAGAAGCCTGAATTGTGTAGCATATTGTAATAAAGAGCAGGAACTAAAGTTTTAAGTGTGTCTGTGTAACATGTAGAGCCAAAGAGTAATTACTGCATTTCAAGCTTTGATGCATTAAAGCAGAGCTTTAATCATCCAGTAGGAAGTCCTCATCGGAGGCACTGTCCAGAAATGAACCTAGAGACTTCCGCAAAAAGCTGAAAGATTTCTCATCCTGTATTAAAAAAAAAACTTTTTTTTAGATATTTTCTGGTGAAAACAACCTTGAAAATGTATGAACCAGTAGCTGACCTGCTTCTTCTTCTTTATAGAATCCTCTGCTGCAGCAATTTTATCTGCACAAGCTTTCTCTAAATCTGATAGCATACTTTTTTCTTTCTTCCCTGAAGACCAAATTGTACAGAGATTATGTTGTTTGTGGTTAGAAGGGTAAGTTTTGAATGCACAGAAGAACGGGCTCAGGGTTTTCTTGCTCACGTAGTTGTTCATAGCGGGTGAACAGCTTTTCTTTTTCATTTTCAAACTTGGAAAATATGTCTGAAGAAACACCAATGGTTATTGGTTAGTATCCTGAGATAGAACTCAGCTAATATTTTCACATTTAGATTCTCTTTTAGGATGACAAAAGTATTGGCTATGTCAAAAGGCAATATGGTTGTTTCATCTCAATTTCAAAGTGAAAAAATGCAATTCAGTTAAGTATATACTTTTTTATCAATAATTCAGTGTTAAGTATATAAATGCAAGTGCAATCAATCTGGCAAGTCAACTTCAACTTTTTTTTTGATACTTTAACCTAGGTACACCAAACCTTAAACAGTTACTCATGCCAACTTGGTGGCTAGATAATATGGAATTGTTGATTAGATGGTATTCAGGATTACTACAGATGATTTCTCTGCAAAAGAAAGAATTCAGAAAAAGGGCTGTTATGTCATGGGATTAAACAAATTTTAATCTCGACAAACTATTAGCTAATAACTGATGTTCTTTAAATGACATTAAAATGATCTATAAACATGAGATAAATTGTTCCCAGCAGATCCAAAATCAATATTTTTTTGTTTTATATGGTAACCCCTAATCTCCTTGTTTCTTTCCTTTTCTTTTATTTACTTGATCCAGTGAGAATGCAAACTGAAATAAAGAAATTCTGACATGTAGAAACAGCAAATGAAAGATGACATGTTGTTAACATTAATTGGTGCTTCAATTGAGATGCTACACCAGTCTACACCATAACCTAAAGAATCCAGAAAGTACCTTTAAGAATCTGCATGTGTGTGTCTTTTTCCTTGCAAAATTTCTCGTAAGTAGCTTGGAACTTTGTATATTCATTCTTCAATGAACCTTCACACTGCAATTCATGCAAATATATAATGCAATAAAACTGAGGCATCATCCTTGCAGCTAAAAACAAAATCCATCTCATCCAATCTACATTAAGAATTGGCCTTTATATTGTGCAGACCTCTTTTGAGCTCTTTGAAAGAGCCTTAACAAAACTCTGCCTGTGAGAGAAGATAACAAAAGCAATTAAAACAACACCCATGTTAATAGAGTGGAGAGGAACAATGATTGAAACAACTGAAAAATTAGGAAGCTTAGAAAAAGTATACAATCTTATACAAACTCATGGCAAAATATTTTTTTCTTTTCTCACCTTTCCTTATCAAACTGCGACCTTGCATCATCTAGCATGGCCTTGATCTCTGAAGCCACACTGCCACAAGACCCATATTAGTATGAACAACCAACTCATATTGAATTCACACCACACCCAGAAAAAATAGGACAAAAAAATCATTAGAGATACCATAATAAAACTGATAATCTTGTCTGTCACCAAATCTCTGTACATCACACCATGGAATGCTATAAGGATGCAAGAAGAAAGGGAAGCAAAGAAACCAACCAAAATGACAAATCTATGGACAGGTTGCACTATTTTCTTAATTGAGATCAAATATGAAACTCAACGGATAAAAAAACATGGAACTTGATGAATTTCAAACACATAATAAATGTAGTCAAAGACGGATTATAACATATACGAATCAGGATATATGTAACCAGCCAAAGGATAATCTGCACTATTTAGTGATTTAATTTATGAGGCTTAATGGATAAAACTAGATGAAATTTTGGGATCTCTGGATGTTTAAAGTGGAGATTTGGGATCAAATCCCGCTGCACCAGGGTTGGGGGGGGGTTACGAGTATGGGGGATGGGCTTCCCTCCATTGCATAGCCCTAAAAAAATGGGAAAAAAATAGATGGAACTATAAGCACATAAAATTAATTTAAATAACCTGGGGTCCAATCCTTTTCCCCCTGTGTGCCGCCTCTTTCTGTAATTTTGCTTTCCCCTCTTTCCCTTGTTCATTCTCCTTATGACCAAATCCTAAACAGTCCCATTCTCCCCTAAATCTTTGTCATATTGAACCAATACAAAGAAAAGAAAGTTCAGGTTTGAATTGCACCCCATCTCACTAGTGAACAGCCCCAATTTTGACCATTCCATCTCCTCTAAGACATAGTCATACATCAAAGAATTCCTAGCGGGAATAAACAGAAGATATCACTATGGCACCCAATACAACTTATTCTCTCATAACAACGCAGAAAATCAACTCTTTCCTCTATTTTTTTTTTTTCAACTGGGGCAGCAAATTCATCATCAATCTCCATAGACTTCACAAAAGGGCTCCTACAGCCTACTTCACACTCAGACACTTTAGACACTCCAAAGATGATATTATAGGATCTCGACATTCTACATGGTTCGAGGACCCTGGCCATTTTCAACTTCTCCAGTCAGTTTCAAGTGGTCAACTATGATCAGGCATAGAGAAGCCCAAAATTACTTGTTTTCTTGTGTACACATCTCTTGTTAACTCAAGCTATGAGATCAAACAAAAGCACATAATGTATCTCATAATAGTCCTCTACTCTTAGAATATATAAACTATCATTAGTTCCTATTAACCATTCAATATTTTTTTTATCAGCAAAGGTAACTTTTATTAACCATAATATGAAAATTGAGCTTACAAATTTGTGGGTAGTTTATCCACACCCATATGGTAAACAGATACAACTAAAGATGCAACTCCCCAAAATAGCCTTACAATTTAGCCCAAAATAAGTGCTGCCAGTTTTCCCCCTGTTTAGCTAATGTATCTGCCATGCCATTTGCAGTTCTTCTCACCCATTTAAATGTAACATTCAGTTCCCTTGTTATCATTTCAATTTCTCTAATCCTTTGCCTGTACATCCAAGGGATTTGGCAATGAAATTTTGTCCAGGAAATCACCACCTGAGAGTCCCCTTCCACTGCTAACCTTTGGAAACCAAGCTGTTTTGCGAGTTTCAGCCCTTGAAGAAAAGCCATTAATTCTGCTGTCAGTGAATCCCCTTGCTCAACAGGACCCGAGTAGAGTGCTAGTACCTCACCTCCTGTGCCTCTGAATACACCTCCTAAACCAACCCTACCTTCACTTCCCAAAAAGCTTCCATTGAAGTTTAATTTCACAGAATTAGGTGTTGGCAGTCTCCACTCCATAACAACCCTTTCTTTCTCTTGGCCCAAGCCTGCCACTTCCTTCCATGATCTCAGAATATCATTGAAGGAGAAAACGTGGAAGATTTCCAAATTTTTTACCCAATGTGCGATTTTTATCTTTATGGCTTCTATGACTTCTAACTATGATCTACACCTTTCATCGAGAATCCTCCCATTTCTTTCTTCCCAGATGGTCCAAACCAGTGCTGTTCCCATTGCTTTCCACAGAATCCTTCCTCTTTTCTTTGCCTACCTCAGGAAATTTGGGTCAAAGAGACCCACCACATCTTGGGAAGGAGTCCACCACTTGAATAGCTTTGAATAATTGTAAATTGATTTAACTTTTAGTCCACCTCTGGACTAAAAACTCATATATAAATTATCTATATATTTGCATTCACTTATTATGTTTTATATATTCTGTATTTCGTTACCTATTAGCACATTTCCTAGTGTTTAGACCTTTCTTTACATTTTCATTGCTTTCTGTGATTTCAGGAACTAATTAAAAGACAGATATACTAATAAAGACATATGAATTCACATGGTACCTTCATGGGCCAGTAAGCCAGTAAGCCAGCAAGCAAATGAGTTTAATGTAAATCATTGTTCTTTAGCATTAATAACAACAAAAACGATAATGCTGCTAACAAAAACCCTGAAGGAAATTGGAAAAAACACTTTTCAATATATCTAAATAGTTCGTAAACTTCACTGGATAATTTAGGCAAAAAATGAGAAAGAAGTCCATTATGCTTCAGAATAGGGCCGGAAAACAATAAAGAACTAATGGTGTATTTATTTCTACTCTATAAAACAATACAATTCAGAGCACTGTATAACCCTAAGAAGATAGAAAATGTTCAGATTATCATCCAGATCCGAAGGAATATGAATCAGATCTACTCAGAGAGTCAAGAAGCTGATAGAACCATTTGCAAGTAACACAATCCCTAGTCACTAAACCAATATAAGTTCTGTTGTGAAATCGCTTCAGATATCGCCACATTAAGTGCATTCACCTAGAAATCAACTCCTCACTCCTCCTCTGGTCATCTTTCTGCGCCTTTTCTTTGATCTGTTGCAGTGCCGAGAGGATACCTTTGATGTCACTGAAAAGTCAAAATCCGAAGAAGCAATAACACGTTATCGGGGAAAAATTTGGCAGTGCATCAGAAAGCTTGAAAAATAATAAAAAAGAAACCTCGATAGATCGGGATCGAAGTCCTCATCTCGCTTTCTCTTCTCCGGTTTCAGAACGTCAACTTCCTCCTTCCCTCGTCTCTTGCTACTTCCTTTAACGGCCGACATCCCACTTTCCCGAATCGGCCTCCGAAACTAAAGGTTCACAGATCAAACCGAAGAAACTTAAGGAGATCGAAATTTCCTAATTCACAGCGTTTTGAAGCCCTGATTCATCTCTCCTGACTTTCGCGGTCACGAGAGAGTTGTTAACTTCAGTGACCGGTGTTAAATGAGAGTTTTAAAATGTGGATTATAAAAAGGGAAAATCTACAATCAGTACCGTGTAGTTTTTTTTGGTAAATCAGCAGCAATAACTTTCCCTTTTCCCCTTTACCCCCCTTTTTCTTCCCAAGGCTGCGTTTCGTTGCAATGCAAACGCAAATATGTATACTTCATATTTATCCATTTCTCATATTTATCCATTTCTCGATTCATGAATAGAAGTACGGTTCACATTTTAAACCGTTTTTACATTCATCTTATTTGTTTGAAATCCGTGCAAAAGTGTGGGCCCATCATTAAATGCTCCAAATATCATATGCTTTAATGCCTTAACTTTGGTCAAAAAGTTAATTATCAAGAGAGCACAAAATTGTATCCAAAAAATAGGTACAATAATGCTCTTTTTTTAGAGTACAAAAGTGTCAAAAAATACATTTTTGCTCTGATAATCATTACTTTTTATGCATCAAACAAACGCTCAAACGCGAACCGAAATACATAAATACCCCGATTCGGTGATTGTATCGCAAACAAACGGAGCCCAAAGTGCTAGTTGTGGGATTTGATTCCGCGTCAATGTTGGGACAACCCAGCTAACACACCAACGAGCCAACCCTCGATTGGTACCATGTAGTTTGCCTCGAGTGACAATTGGGTCGTTCCTTAGTGTGGATGAGAAATTGGTGGGTGTGGATTGGTGCACACCACACCCTATGGTAGGGACCAATCCACACTATACCACAACTGTGTGGATTGGACCCATAGTGGCGTTCTATAAGCATGGTGTGGATCACTCCACACCATACTTTTTGATTCCATGTATCTCATATACATTTATAATGATCTACACCAATGTTTTAAAAAACAAACCGGAAACGGAACCATCCTGGCCACTGGTTTTCGGGCCAACGGTCCGACCGTCCAATTTGAACGAATGGTCCGTTCTAACAAACAAATTAAAAAAAAATAATTAAAAATAAAAAAAGGTCAAAGTCGTTGAACGAGTCGATGGTTTAACTGCCCGGGTCAATGGGTTGTTGACTTTTTTCAACGATTCTTGACCAAAAATCGGGTTTGGGGTAAAACGGAACCGCTTGCTAGGATAGTTCTCGGGCTAAGCAGTCCGACCATCTGGGTCAACGGCAGTTCAAAAACCTTGATCTACACAATTAATCACAAATATATAATTTTTACATTTTATATGATAAATATATTGAAAAATACATCAATGAATTAATATTAACCAATAAATATTATTTTTTATAAAAAAATAGTAAAATAATTAAAATTTTAAAAAATATATTTTAAATATTTAAAAATATTATTTTATTGATAAAAACATTAAAAATTTAGGTTTTAGCCAAAGTTTTCGAACCGTCGTTGACTCGGATTGTTTAGACTGGAAACTGTTCAAGCGATCGGTTCCGTTTTACCCCAAACCTGGTATTTGGTCAAAAACCGTTGAATTAGTCAACGAACCGTTGACTCGGATGGTTTGACTGTTGACCCATTCGACCCGAAGAACAGTTTGCTGTAAGGTTTTAAAAACTAAGAAATCTCATATCTGAGATTGAGAAATCTCAGATATGTGCAGATCTGTCTCTCTCGCATGAAAAGGTAAGAGAGATCTGCGCGAGATGGTGAGAGAGAGTGAGATCTGAGACTGAGAAATCTCAGATCTACTTTCATTGCTAGTTTGCCACCATCCCCGCCGCTATAGTTTGTCGTCGCCGTCATTGTTGTTGTTGTAAGTCGTTGTTGTCGCCGCTGCAACTTGTAAGTCCTCTTCCTCCTCCTCCTCCTCCTCCTCTTCTTCTTCTTCTTTTTCTTCTTCTTCTTCTTCTTCTTCTTCTTCTTCTTCTTCTTCTAAACTCTTTCAACCGACAATTTTCTCAAATCTCTCTCATGCAAAATTTCAAACTTGATTTTCTCTTATATAGTATGCATCTTACCCTAATATTCTAATCTAATGGGTAAGATGTTCAAACTATTTGAATCGTTTGACCCAGATGGTCGAACCGCTGACCCAGAAACTGGTGGCCAGAACAGTTCCTTTTCTGAGTCAGTTTTTAAAACCTTGGTTTCGGCCTTTCAAGGAGAGTGTGAAGCAGGGGGATCAAAAATAGAGTGTGGACGGGCCCTAACCACGAGTTTTTGTCATGGATGAGAAATTGGGGTGTGGACGGGACCGCCTTTCCATAGCCAACCGAATGGGTGTTCATCCTGTGGACCAGTCCTGCCCACAAGATGAACACGGTGCCAAACACCGCCTTGGTCATCGAACTTTAAGAGGACGTTTGGGATCGGTGCGTTTCACAATCATTGTGTTTCACAAGTGGGGTCCGATTTATAAGTGAATCATTTTATTTGTTTTTTAAAGGAATACAAATAAACGGGATATAGGCTAATTGGATGTTTAAACTGATTTGGCTTAATATTATAATATATTTATAATGACAACTATTTGACATCTCAAAAAGTGGTTAGTTTTTTCAAATTCCAATACGACATGTCACCAGGGTGATTCAGGATCATTAAGGCAATTCAAGAAACGAAAATTTAGCGTTTCAAGAAACCCTTCCTTTCCTAAATCGCAAAGCTAATTATTACAAAAACGTTTCCTTGAAAAACAAGACTACTAATTGTCATATTTTTTTACTGATTCTGTTTATTTGTTGCTGTGGCACGCATGACACATCAGCAAAAAATGGAACGGTCATGAAACGCATTGGTCCCAAGCAACCTCTAAAATGTGACAATCCAGTACTTAAACTTTCGAAACACGACAATCTAAGTACATGCCATTAATGCTAAGTACCTGTCGTTAATAGACTGTCAGTTATGTATATCACGTATTTTATGTGCGATTTAAGACTTTTGAAAATGTCAAAATTACCCTTGAAAATAAAATCGATTGTTCATCATCTTCTTCCTCAAGAAGATTAAACAGAGCTCAAGCTCTCTGTCACAAACACTTGCAATGACTTTTCCTTTCATGCAAAGTTGTTGCAAGTCTTTGCCAATTACAGAAAATTCCAGGTTTTATACAACTTATTTTTATTTTTTTTTAACTTAACATAGTAATATTTTATTCCTACAAGTAAAAGAGAGGAGAAGAAATGGAAGCTTTGTCATGATACTTTAGAGAGAGAGAGAGAGAGATCAGTGATGGTGGCCGAAGACTTTTCTCTTTTTTCATATAAGATAATTATAGTAGTTAAAGGAAAACTTTTCTCCCAGAAATTGCTTAGGTTTTGGTTCAAGATGGCAGAATATTCAGAGGAGAAGAAAGACAAAAGTGTTGTTGCATGGATGAAAATTTTGACGGTTGGTTTTGATTTTAGCATATGGTTGATAAAGAAAATTAGATGACACTTGAAGGGCATTTGTGTCTTTTCACATGCCACTTAATGACTGGTTAATGGCAAGTACTAGATTGTCATGTTTCAAAAGTTCGGGTACTGGATTGTCGCATTTTAAAGTTTGGGGACCAAATTGTCACTCAAGCCAAAGCATAGGGTACTAATCGAGAATTTTCCCTTATAAAAATCAATGTTTAAAAATTGACCTACATCGGAGCCACTTTGGCCACTAGTTTTCGGGTTAGAGGTTCGACCATCCGGCTTAAATGGATGGCCCATTTAATTTAAAGAAACAAAAAATTAAAAAATAATTAAAATAAAAATGGTTAAAACCATTGTCTGGGTTAATTGGGTCAATGGTTCGATTGCCTAAGTCAGCAGGTCGCTAATCAAGTCAACAGGTTTTGGCCAAGGAATGGGTTAGGGGTGAAATGGAACCAGTTGGTTGGACGGTTGTCAATCCAAACGGTTTGACAATCTGGATCAACAATAGTTCAAAAACACTAATAAAAGGGTAAATTTGTCAAAAGTAAAATTGATTTACTTTACGCCTATTGTTTAGAAATTGCTTTAAACACCTCCCAAGTTTTTTTATAGTTAGTGTCTATTAATACAAAAGAAGCAAATGACTATTTGAATTCAAATTGTATGACCCAACTTGACACATTTCTCTAATTGCAAACAAAAATCCTTTGCTATTAGGAAGCTCTAAACTCAAGCCAGGTTCTTCCCCATTTTTGTTCAACAATTTTCACAATCTCACTTAAACTGAAAACTGATGTCCATTAACTGTCAAAATTGATTTTACAGTGAAATTGTTTAGAAAGTGAAACTATGTTTTCTTATTTTGGTTTCTCTTCATGTAAGTTGGGTTGCTTTAGATAAACATGAATTGAAGAGAGTGAAACATTTGAGAGGTGAAGTCGCAAATGGAAGCTTGTCACAGGGCGTTGATGAACATAGCAAGTCCTAAAGAATTTAAAAACAATGTGCTAGATTTTATAAAAAATTTGGATTTTGTTGAGTTTTATTTTGAAAAATTGAAGAATAATGGAGGGAAAAACTGATCATAAAAGGGTAATACTGGTATTTAAAAATTTTATGTGCCACATGATGTCACATGTGAACTGATTGTACTAAAACGCTAACGAATGCTAATGATAGGGAATGATTTAATCAATTGTAAGAAAACTAAGAGGTAAGTCAATTTCTAAACAATAGGGTAAAGTAAATCAATTTCCTAAAACTCAAGGATATTTTAAGAGATTTTCTCTTATAAAAAATCAGATAGCTTTTTGTTGCAGGGCTGAAATTATCAAGGCTTAAGCCTAGTAGTTTTTTTAGGACGGCCCCGCATCACACTCAAAAATTTCCAAGCCTGACTTAGGCTTAATACCTTAGGCCAGGTCTGGGGTGCAATACATAAATATATGTATATGTATATGTATATGTATATGTATATGTATATGTATATGTATATGTATATGTATATGTCTATATATATATATATATATTGTCAGGTCCTTGTATTTTGTTGCATGGCACACTTAGGGAGGCTAATGCAAACAAGATTAATTCAAAACATGGGCCAAATAGGCTTTTTTGGGTAAGTCGGAATTAGAGATGCAAACAAATTGGATCAATATCAGATAGGTCCATTTCTTGCCTCATGATCCAAACTTCGCTTGTTGGATTACTTGAATTAGTTCAAATTG